GGTACCCCGGTGACCTCCTCGCCCCCCCTGGCCCCAGCCCGGGCCACAAGGGGCGCTGTGGAACCGCCCCGGGCCCCTCCACCCCCGCGCGGGGACGTTACCATGCCAGAGCCTCCGAGCAGCTGGGCCGGCTCGGCCCACCCCCCAGTAAAAGCCGCTCTGATTGGCTGGGGCGCAGCCTGGAGGGCGGGGCCCGCGGGGGGTCGCACCCCTTCGTGGCCGGGGCTCCGGTGACTACCGCCGCCGTGCGGGGACCCCAACCGGCCCGGTGTCTCCGGGCCCGGCCCCGCCCCCCCTCCCCCTGGGCGCGGAGAGCCGGGCCCCGCCCCCGCGCCGCGGGCCCTGGGCCCGCCTCCGGGGGCGGGGCGCGCCGGCTCCTCCTCCGGCTGACCGCCGCGCGGGCCCTTCCCCGAGCGCGGTCCTCGCCGCGCGCGTGCCGCCGCGTCCCGGGGCCGGGACCCAGGCTAGATCCAAGCATTCATCCCGTACAGCATCTCTGCCTTTCGAGGAACGGTGTCAAACTTGCCGTACAGTTATTTGTAGCACTTTTAAACGAGTTAACCTGCTTCAGGCACCGAGCATAAAGCAATTGGAAAAAAAAAGAAAGAAAGAAACACAAATCCCCTAAATTGCTGCCCTTCTCAATTGACCCTAAAGCGAACTGAAATTTGGCTCCCATCAAAAAGTAAACTCAAGCCGGGCGCTGGTGGCTCACACCTGTCATCCCAGCTACTCAGGAGACTGAGATCTGAGGATCGCGGTTCAAAGCCAGCCCGGGCAGCGAAGTCCGTGAGACTCTTGTCTCCAATTAACCACCAGAAAACGTAGGAAGTGGAGCCTGTGACTCGAGTGGTAGAGTACTAGCTTTGAGGAAAAGATCTCAGGGACAGCACCCAGGCACTGAGTTCAAGCCCGGACCCAGCACGAAAAAAGTGAGGATGCAGTCTTGTATAAAGAATTTAAAATGTGAGATAAATGGAATGTGGTCAATTAGGGGGCAGCTGTTTATAGAGGCTCAGCACAAACTAGTGTCACAAAGTCCTGTATGAGGGTCTCATAGCAGGGCAAAGCTAAGAACAGAAGAAAAGGGGGCAGACAAGAGCCAGGATCTAGGGACTGCCATTTGTTAGTTTAAGAATTCTGGAGAACCCCAAAATTCTAATTTAGAACCTGGTCTTCCAAGTCCTTACAAAAGTGCATTTTTATAAAGTTAGTTGTCTAGAATAATTTTATTTATTTTATTATTTGTTAGCTATTTTTACCCCAGTACTGTGGTTTGAACTCAGGGCTTGGGCACTATTTGGCACCCTTAGCTTCTCTCTTAAGACTAGTGCTCTACCACCTGAGCCATAGCTCTACTTCTTTTTGATAGTTAATTGGAGATAAGAGTCTCTTAGACTTTCCAGACCAGACTGGCTCTGAACAGCAATCCTCAAATCTCAAGTCTCCAGAGTAGCTAGGATTACAGATACACATCAACACCATCTGATCCATTTGTTTTCATTATCATTTACATTGGTACTGTGACATGGACTCGGGATTTTACATTTGCTGAGAAAGCACTCTACCTCATGAGCCATGCCTCCAGCTCCAGGCACTAGCCTTGAGCAAAAAGGAGCTCAGGAACAGCATCCAGGCTGTCCCAGGAATGGCAATAAATAAATCAATCCAATTTAATTTCTTATTTATTCATTTCTGTACTAGGTTTGAACTCTTCTTCTTCCTCCTCTTCCTCCTCCTGTTCCTCTTCCCTCTATTTTCTAAATAAATCTCACTATGTAGCCAGCAAAAAACCAGAAAGTAGAGGCATGGCTTGAGTGGTAGGTCTCTCCAGTTAAGGAGAGCTTGAGGCCCAGAGATTAAACCCCACATGGTACCAGCACAAAAAAGAAGAAAAAAAGAAAATAGAAAGATAAGTAAATAAATAAATAGTAAGCCGGGTGCCAGTGGCTCACGCCTGTAATCCTAGCTACTCAGGAGGCTGAGATCTGAGGAACAGGGTTCAAAGCCAGCCTGGACAGGAACATCCATGAGACTCTTATCTCCAATAAACCACTAGAAAACCGGAAGTGGCTCTGTGGCTCAAGTGGTAGAGCGCTTTCCTTGAGCTGAAGAGTGCAGGGACAGCACCCAGGCCCAGAGTTCAAGCCCCACAACTGACAATAAATAAATAAATAAATAGTAACAATATGTTCTGAAGTCATGAAGGATTAAAGGTACAGATGTATATAGAGATATGTAAACAGATGTATATAGAGACATATACTTTAGTTAAGGTGTAAATGCCTTAAGAATAAAATGAGGTCTCACTGGTTTCTTCATGACCAGCACTTACACCTATGCATGGCACCTGAACTGTTCCCAAGAATGTTTGTTGAGTGAATGAGCCAATAAAAGGATTAACTTTGAATAAATAAATATAGTATATAAAAAACAAATGAGTGTCAGCTGACAAGTTGCTCAGTGACTATGGCACTACTGAGGACTTCACTTATAACATTAAGTTCCTTGGAGCTGAGATGTAGCTCAGTGGCAAAGCGCTTGCCTAACAAGTGCAATGTCCTGGGTTTAAGCCTCAGTACCAAAAGAGAAAAGACAAGAAAACTATAGTTCATTATTTATTAAATTGTAATATTTTAGTAGCAAAGATTAATCTGCATATATGTGGACTTGCATTTACATATTTATTCATTTAACAAGTTTTTAGTAAGTGCCTAGGAGGTATAGTTCTAAAGCCTAGATTATATAATGATGTTGGTTAGTTTTGAAAAGATGATTACCATGATTTTCAAAGTATAGAGCTTTGATCCTCAGGGAAAATGTAAACATGTTCCCTCTTAGTTGCTGATTGGCTTTAATTTTTTAAGTAAAATTAAAATTTCTTTTTAGGAAAGTGTGTGAGTAAACTTTCTGATATTATAGCAAAATAGCTGAGATAATTAACTTATGAAATAAAAAGCTTATTTTGGCTTCCTAGTTTGGAAGTTCTGGTCCATGATCAATAAATAGTTCTATTGCTTCTGGTGGGAGTGCTAAACAACAAAGGCATGGAGTGTTTAGTGGAACAAGCCACTGACATCATGAGCCAGTAAGCAAAGAGGAACAAAGAAAGGCCTGGGTACAATTCTGGTGATCTAAATAGTTCCCACAAGAACCTCCCTACCTTCCAAAGTTTCCATAATAGCACCACGCTGGGGACCAATCCTTTGTACATGAACCTTTGGGAAAGTATGCATGACTGTAATCTTAGCTACTTGGCAAGCTGAGAATCGAAAGACGGCAGTTTGAGGCTAGCTTGGGCAGAAAAGTTCGTGAGACTCTTTCTAAACTCATAGCTGGACTCAGTAATATGTACCTATCATCATAAGCTATATGGGAAGCTGAGATTGAAATAGATCTTGGTTCCAGGAAACCTTAGGCAGAAAGCTCCATCTCAACAGAAAGATGCTGAGATGGCTGCATGCACTTGTCATCATAGCTAGGAAGAGAAGTATAAAATAGATGGATCAAGGTCTAGGCCTACTCCCAGGCAGGAAGTGAGTCCCTATTTCAAAACTGACCAGTGCAGCCGGGTGCCAGTGGCTCACACCTATAATCCTAGCTACTCAGAAGGCTGAGATCTGAGGATCACAGTTCAAAGACAGCCAGGGCAGGAAAAGTCCATGAAACCGGAAGTAGTGCTGTAACTCAAGTGGTAGAGCGCTAGCCTTGAGCTGAAGAGCTGAGGGACAGCGCTCAGACCCAGAATTCAAGCCCATGACCAACAAAACAAACAAAAACACTGACCAGTGCAAAAAAGAACTGGGGGTATAGCTCAGTAGTAGAGTACCTGCCTGTCACATGAAAAGCCCTGAGTTCAAAACCCCAGAAGAAGACCCAAATTAGCAGAAGGTAACATTTCTAATTACTTTTTCCTATTTTCAGCCATTATTTAGCTAAACAATATTCCGTGATTTTTGTGTGTTTCTTTGCTGGTACTGGTACTTGGAGCTTTGCACTCTTGCCTAGCTTTTTCACGTAAGGCTTGTGCTTTACCACTTGAGCCACACTTCTACTTCCAGCATTATTTATTTATTTATATATTGCTTGCTGGTTCTAGGGCTTGAACTCATGGCTTGGGCACTATTCTTTATGCTCAAGGCTAGCACTTGAGCCACAGTGGCACTTCCAGCTTTTATGAGTAGTTTATTGGAGATAAGAGTCTCACAGGGACTTTTCTAGCTAGGCTGGCTTCAAACCATGAGCCTCAGATCTCAGCCTCCTGAGTAACTAGGATTACAGGTGTGAGCCACTGGTGCCAGGCAACATTTTTTTTTATCTTTTTGAGTGACAGTTCTGGGGCTTGAACTCAGGATCTGGGTGCTGTAACTGAGCTTTTTTCTCAAGGTTAACATTCTACCATTTGACCACAACTCCACTTCTAGCTTGATCGGTGCTTAATTGTAAATAAGAGTCTCACAGACTTTTCTGCCCAGCCTGGCTTCAAACCACAATCCTCAGATCTTGACCTCCCAAGTAGCAAGGATTACAGGCATAAACCACTGGTACCCAACTTCCTCTTCTAGCTTTGTTTGTTAGTTGAAATTAAGATTCTCTCCAGATTTGTCTCCTAGATGGCTTTGAATCAAGATCCTCAGATTTCAGCTTCCTGACTAGTTAGGATCACAAGCATGAGCCACCATGCTCAGCTATATTTAATAATTTTTTAAAGCAACAGGTCAAGGAAATACAATATTAAGTAATGGATTAAAAGCTAGATAATAGGCACTGAGATGACTGGAAATCTAATCTTCTAATTCTTTAACTCAGACTGATGATGTCACTAGGGAAAAGAGGGTCAGTTGGAACCTGGTTTCTGGCAGTTGCTGGAGAAGGTGTGCCTGGGCAGAAGGTATCCAGAATCCACTGTGGGGCCCTTAAGCTACAAAGCTGCCAACATTGTGTTTGCAGGCTATGTGCCAGAGACACAGGACACTTTGGGACTGACAGAATTACCCATAATGGAGAATAACTCTCCACAGTTGGTGATTCCATCATCAGTGAAGGCCATCATCTCAAGGATCGAAGCTGCCCAGCTAACTCGAGCTCGTAAGGTAATGTGGAAGGAAAGTACCTTTCTATTGGGATCTGAAGTAGAAGCCAGGGACTGACCCCAGCCCTGGGAACTCAGTTCCTAGGATACTTGGCAACCTGGATTTGCAGACAAATGAATTAAAAATACTGAGGTCCTATATTTGGCCTCTGCCTGGTGGGCTGGCATCAACCAGCCCCAGGAGTGGGGGTGGGACCAGGAAGGAAGCCAACCACAAGTAAGTGGGCAGGAAGGACCAGGATAGCTCATAGTGGTGGGTCCTGGGAGAGTGGGAAAAAGGAAATATTTTTAAATTCAGAGTCTGTGATTGACAAATTGCAGAATCCCTTAAGCCATGAGGGTCAAAGGTTCAGATCTCCCTGTACATGACTGAGGCTCTAGTTTTCATTTGAGCCTCTAATTCTGAGGGTTTCTTGGGACCTCATTTTTTCCATGTTGCTTCCTTTTTTTTGGGGGGGGGGTCTGGTCCTGGGGCCTGAACTCTGGGCCTGGGCGCTGTCCCTCAGCTCTTCAGCTCACGGCTAGCGCTCTACCACTTGAGCCACAGCGCCACTTCCGGCTTTTTTCTTTTTGCTTATGTGCTGCTGAGGAATTGAACCCAGGGCCTCGAGCATGCAAGGCAAGCGCTCTACCACTGAGCCACCTTCCCAGCCCATGTTGCTTCCTTTTGAAGGGAGAGGTTCAGAAGCCCAAGCAAGTTCTGAAATTTAATAAAAAGAAATATAGGACTGGGGGTTGGGAAGGTAGCGCAGTGGTAGAGTGCTTGCCTTGCATGCATGAGGCCCTGGGTTCAATTCCTCAGTACCAAATAAACAGAAAAAGCTGGAAGTGGTGCTGTGGCTCAAGTGGTAGAGCGCTAGCCTTGAGCTGAAGAGCTGAGGGACAGCACCCAGGCCCAGAGTTCAGACCTCAGGACCGACAAAAAAAAAAAAAAGAAAGAAAAGAAAAGAAAAATATGGGCTGGGAAGGTGGCTCAGTGGTAGAGTGCTTGCCTAGCATGCATGAAGCCTTCAGTTCCATTCCTCAGTACCACATAAACAGAAAAAGCCAGAAGTGGTGTTGTGGCTCAAGTGGTAGAGTGCTAGCTTTAAGTAAAATAAGCTCAGGGACAGTGCCCAGGTCCTGATTTCAAGCCCCAGGGCTGGCAAAAACAAAACAAAATATTTGAGGTGTGTGTTTATTATTGCTGACCTTAATCAAAATGATAAGGGCTGACGCTTTTTTGTTTATTTATTTATTTTTGGGTCTAGTTGTGGGGCTTGAACTCTGGGCCTGGGCGCTGTCCTTCAGCTCTTCAGCTCAAGGCTAGTGCTCTACCACTTGAGCCACAGTGCCACTTCCGGCTTGTTTCTTTTTTGCTTATGTGGTGCTGAGGAATCGAACCCAGGGCCTCAGGCATGCAAGGCAAGCATTCTACCACTGAGCCACCTTCCCAGTCCCAGCGCTGACACTTTTTGTTATTTACAAGTACTATTCTAAGCATTTTACAAATACTAATTCACTTATTCCTTATAAAAACCTACAGGACATAAGATTATTACATCCTTACCAATTGAAAAGCAAAACAAGGCTGGGGATATGGCTTAGTGGTAGAGCGCTCGGCCTAGCATGCATGAAGCCCTGGGTTCCATTTCTCAGTACCACATAAACAGAAAAAGCCAGAAGTGGTGCTGTGGCTCAAGTGGTAGAGTGCTAGCCTTGAGCAAAATAAGCTCAGGGACAGTGCCCAGGCCCTGAGTTCAAGCCCCAGGACTGTCATTTTAAAAAATAAATAAAAGTCAAACAAACAACAACTATAAGCAATCCCTGAGAAGACTAGTTACTTAGTTCAATGTCAGCCCAGGTAGAAAAGTCTATGAGACTCTTTTTTTTTTCTTTTGCTTGTCATGGGGCCTGAACTCTGGGCCTGGGCACTGTCCCTGAGCTCTTCAGCTCAAGGCTAGCGCTCTACCACTAGAGCCACACCACCATTTCCAGCCTTTTCTGCTTATGTGGTGCTGAATTGAACTCAGGGCCTCATGCATGCAAGCAAGCACTCTACCACTGAGCCACCTTCCCAGCCCTCTATGAGACCCTTATCTCCAATAAACCACACACACACACACACACACACACACACACACACACACACACACACACACACACACACTGGAAGTAGAGCTGTGGCTCTTGAGCAAAAAAGGTCAAGGACAGCACCCAGGCTCTGAGTTCAAGCCCCAGGACTGGTACACACACACACACACATGCACACACACACACACACACACACACACACACCAACAACAACAACCAAAAAATAAAATACCCTGAGACCTAAACAAGTTGAATGACTTATCTTAGGCCATGCTGCTAGCACAGAGCTTGTGGCTTGAGTCTACACTCCCCCAACCCCCAATATTGCAATGTGATGTCTCCCATATAGGATATTTCTAACCAGCTCTCAGACATTTTGGGCAATGTCGATAGTGTCATCAACCACTTCCAGGAAGAATTAGGATATGATTTAAAAGAAAAGGCAATCATTCATATTGGACAAATGGAAAAAAAGAGATACATCTTGCTGGATAAAATTGCCTCTTTCTCCAAAGATGCTGAGATGAAAGAGAAACACCTGTATGACATCTTCTGCTGGCTGAGTGACTGGGGTGAGTCTGTGAATAAATACAGCTCTGAATGTAGGTGTCTTTTCCCCAAGATGCTGGTCCCAGTTCACTCAGTTTCTTCCTTTCTCTACTTAATATAATCTGGGAGAGGGCTGAGTGTGGTAGATGTAAGGAGAACAAAGGACACACTGCAATACCCTTTCCCCCAATGAAGCTCTGTGTGTACCGCTTCTGTGGCTTGAACATAGGGTCTGGGTTCTACCCCTAGGCTCTATCCCTGGGCTTGTTTGTTCAAGGCTAGCACTCTACCACCTGAGCCACAGCTTTACTTCCAGCTTTTTGGTGGTTAATTGGAGGTAAGAGTCTCATGAGCTTTCCTGTCTGGGCTGGCTTCAAACCATGTTCTTCAGATCTTAGCCTCCTAAGTAGCTAGGATTATAGCTGTGAGCCACCAGCATCTGGCTCCCAGTAAAGCATTTTACCATTCAGATCACAGTACTTCACCTCTACTCCCCAAAGGGAATCAGCGAAAGTTCTCATTGCAGTGACAAATATCTGAAAGAAACAAGTCGAAGGATACAAGATTTACAGTATTTTGGCTATGGCTTCAGAGGGCTAGTCCATGGTCCTTTGGCCCTCCCTTTTGCTTTTGGCATTAGTGGGCATGGAATATCATGGTGATGAGAATATGTGGCCGAGAGGATGCTTACCTCATGGCAGCCACGAAGCAGAGAGTAGTAACAGGAAAGGGAGGGGTAGAATATACCCTTCCAAGGCACACACCCCTGAGACTCACTTCGTCCAACTTTGCCCCACATTCCAGTTTTCTACCACCTCCCTATAGTTTGTTTATATTCTGTTTGTTTGTTTTTTTTTTGCCAGTCATGGGGCCTGAACTCTGGGCCTGGGCGCTGTCCCTCAGCTCTTCAGCTCAAGGCTAGCACTCTACCACTTGAGCCACAGCGCCACTTCTGGCTTTTTTCTGCTCATGTGGTGCTGAGGAATTGAACCCAGGGCCTCACGCATGCAAGGCAAGCAGAACTCTACCTACCATTGAGCCACCTTCCCAGCCCCTTGTTTACATTCTGAACCTATCAATGGTTAAGCTATTCACTAAGTCAGAGCCCTCATGATCTAATTGTCTCTGAAAATGTTCTCACAGAAGTGTGCTTTACTAATCTCCTGGGTATCTCTCAATCTAATCAAGTTACCAGTCAAGGTTAACTAGCATTGGAACAGAAATAGAATCTCTTAAGTACAAGTCATTTAGGTGTGGACCAGCTGCATATAACCCTGAAGTCAGTGCTACCCCATCTGGATCAACGTCACCTTGTCACAAGAACTGTGTGCTGGGAAGTGTACTCTATGCTGTAGTATTGGGAGAAGATATAGGGATGTCTGCTACCTATTTCATACTGCTATTATCCTGGGAGCTTTCAGTTCAGTAAGCCTTTAGACCTCAAGAAGTAAGAATGCAGCTGAACACTGGTGGCTCACACCTGTAATCCTAGCTACTCAAGAGGCTGAGATCTGAGGATCACAGTTCAAAAGCAGCCAGAGCAGGAAAGTCTGTGAGATTCTTATCTCCAATAAACCACTAGAAAACCGGAAGTGGTGCTGTGGCTCAAGGCAAGTGCTCTAGTGTTTGGCTCAAGTGGTACAGTGCTCGCCTTGAGCTGAAGAGCTGAGGGACAGCACCCAAGCCCAGAGTTCAAGCCCCATGAACGACAAAAAAAAAAAAAAAAAAAGAATTAAAAATGCTGTCCAGGCTTGGTGGTACATACCTGAAATCTCAGCATTTGGGAGACTGAGGCTGGAAATTTGAGATTTGAGCAAAGCACTGGTGGCCCACTTAAAAAAAAAAGCCAGAAATGGAGCTGTGGCTCAAATGATAGAGCCCTAGCTTTGATCAAAATAAAAGCTCAGGAACAGTGTCCAGGCCCTGAATTCAAGCCCCATTCAAGCGGCAGGATTGGCACAAACAAACAAAAAGAGAGCACAGACTGAAAAGTTGAGAGTTCAATGCCAGCCTAGGCCACATAGTGAGATCCTATCTCAAATAAAGAACTAAGGGGCTGGGAAGGTGGCTCAGTGGTAGAGCACTTGCCTTACATGCCTGAGGCCCTGGGTTCGATTCCTCAGCACCACATAAGCAAAAAGAAAAAAAAAAGCTGGAAGTGGCGCTGTGGCTCAAGTGGTAGAGCGCTAGCCTTGAGTGAAGAGCTGAGGGACAGTGCCTAGGCCCAGAGTTCAGGCCCCACGACCGGACCCAAAAAAAAAAAAAAAAGAACTAAGCAAGCAATTGACTACATTTATTTAATTGGTCAGATGATGCCCTAGGCAATGAGTACAGACATCTGGCTGGTCTTATAGTACAAAAATAATACCTAATGTCTATTTTGTATTTCTACATGGCAAGCCTTGTGTTAATCATTTGGTTTTTTGTTTTGTTTTGTTTTTTGCTGGTTGTGGGGCCTGAACTCTGGGCCTGCCTGGGCACTGTTCCTCAGCTCAAGGCTAGCACCCAACCACTTGAGCCACAACACTACCTTTGGCTTTTTCTGTGTATGTGGTGCTGAGGAATCAAACCCAGGGCCTCATTCATGCAAGGCAAGCATTCTACCATTGAGATACCTTTCCAGTCCCATTGTGTTAATCATTTAATGTGTGTTGTCTCATTTAATCCTTTTCCAACTCTTTCACAGGGAGGAAACTGAGGCTCAGGAAAATAAATTACCTGGCCACCACACATAGCTAATCCAAGGTGAAACTAGTTTGATTTCAGAGCTGCTACAAGCCCTGTTAGTTAAAGGACAACCTGTCTTCAACCTGCCCTTTCTTTTTGTCCAGGTGACAGTTTGACCTATGAGATCAAGAGGAGTGAGAAAGAAGAGGAGGCCTTGGATGAGTGGATTGAGGTGATGGAGAAAGTATTACCTCTCTCCCTCATGGCTACCAAAGGAGGCATCGAATCTCTCGTTTCCCTGTGTTCCACTCTCATTGAAAATCAAAAGAAAAAAGCAAGAAGTAGGTTCCCAGAGTACCTGGGAGAAGAGCTGAGTGGTAATGGGGTCGATGATATCTCAGGGGAAGAAGTCATAGGCCAGATCTTCAGAGGTGTTTCCTAGTCTCCTTCATAACAAAAGTACAAAACATTGTACAGTGGGAGCTCAGAGAAGGGAACAGGAACATTGGACTCAACATTGGACTCAACAAGGAACACTGGACCACAGAGTAGTTCTGATCCCCATGGGGGTAGAGATAGGGGTAAAGTGGAAATGGACCCACGGATGCTTCCTGGAGCTATGGTGTCGTGAGAGTTTTTTGGAACAGGGGCTGAAAAGCCAGGAAGATTATAGTATGAAGCTGGGTGCCAGTGGCTCATCTTAGCTACTCAGCAGGCTGAGATGTGAGAATCATGGTTCAAAGACAGGTGGGGCAGTAAGTATGTGAGACTCTTTGTCTCCAATGATCACCTAAAAGCCAGAAGTGTAGCTGTGGCTCAAGTAGTAGAGTCCTAGCCTCCTTGAGCACAAAAGTTCAGTGACAGCACCAGGTCCTGAGTTCAAGCTCCAGGACCAACATATACACCAAATCTCTCTCTCTCTCCTCTCTTTCTCTCTCTCTCTCTCTCTCTCTCTCTCTCTCTCTCTCTCTCACACACACACACACACACACACACACTATAGTTTGAGCCAAAGACTGGAGGAACATTCTTTCCTCATTCTGAACCCAGTTGCTGAGTCAGGAAGTTTGGTGAGACTGTCAGAAGCCTTCTAGAGATTTCTAATCATGGCTTCTTGGGAGGTAGTTAGCCAATCTCAGGAATTTTACTCCCACTGAAACTGTAAGTGAGCTTAGATGATCTAACTCCTGCATTTTTGTAGATTCAAAGCTTGAAGCTCAGAGAAGGAACCACTGAAAGGCTGCGCCAAAGGCAAGCCCCATATTTACTCAAGAGCAAGGGCCTTGGCATGAGACTGATTTCAGTTGGGATTCCATTTCTGCCAAATTTCAAGCTATGTGACTTTGGAAAAGTTACTTCATCTCTCTGAGCTTCGGTTTCTTCATATATAAAATGACAAGGACACTAACTCCCTGCAGGGTTATGGGGAGGCTTCCACAAAGTGTGAGGTATCTGCCATTATGCATAATAAACAGTAACTCACATTAGTATTTTCATTGATTCTCCTGGATTGTTATCAGTCATTGATTCTTGTGGCTCATTATCAGTCAAGTAAGATTGAAAATTGGGGAGGGGACAGAGGAAAATGGATGCAGAGACTATCTTTCCTATAGTTTTTTGTTTTGTTTTGTTTTGTTGCTCCTGGGGCCTGAACTCTGTGCCTGGGAGCTGTCCTTCAGCTCTTCAGCTCAAAGCTATCACTCTTTAGCCACAGAGCCACTTCCAGATTTTTCTGCTTATATGGTGCTGAGGAATCGAACCCAGGGCCTTATGTATGCAAGTCAAGCACTCTACCACTGAGCCACCTTCCCAGCCCTTTCTTATAGTTTTTAACCATACTATTGTTTAAATGTTTTTGGTTTTTCTTTTTCTGGTCCTGGGGCTTGAACTCAGAGGCCTGGGCACTGTCTCTGAGCCTCTTTGTGCTCAAGGCTAGCATTCTACCACTTTGAGCCACAGTACCACTTCTAGCTTTTTCTGAGTAGTTTATTGGAAACTGGCTGGCTTTGAACTGTAATCCTCAGATCTCAGCCTCCTAAGTAGCTAGGATCACAGGCATGAGCCACTAGTGCCCAAATAACTACACTATTTCTTTTTTTTTAAATTTTTTTTTTTGGGTCCGGTCGTGGGGCCTGAACTCTGGACCTGAGCACTGTCCCTCAGCTCTTCAGCTCAAGGCTAGTGCTCTACCACTTGAGCCACAGTGCCACCTCCGGCTTTTTTCTTTTTGCTTATGTGGTGCTGGGAATCGAACCCAGGGCCTCAGGCATGCAAGGCAAGCACTCTTACCACTGAGCCACCTTCCCAGCCACTACACTATTTCTTAAAACACAGTTATTTGTAGGCCAGGTGTTGATTGCTTACACTGTAATCCTAGCTACTCAAGAGGCTGAGATCTGGGGATCACGGTTCAAAGCCAGCCTAGGTTTATAAGTCTGAGAGACTCTTATCTCCAGTTAACCAGCAAAAGACCAGAAATGGAGCCAGGTGCCAGTGACTCAGTCCCAGCTCCTTCTTTTTACCTAATCCTAATCCCAAAGAGGGATGCATAAGAATTTTGGACAAGTAGGATCTGTAGATCTGTGTAATTTTTTTCCAGTGAGTTTTGTTACCTCTTCATAAGAGTTCCCCTCCCTTTTTTCTTTTCCTGTCTAGCTCTCCCAGTGTCCAAACACACCTTCTGGAAGAACTGGTTGGAAAAAAACTCACAAAAGTCTGCAAAGCACCTTCAGCCACTGAGCCCAGAGCTGATGCTCCAGGACAAGGGCATCACCAATACAAAGGTCTCTGAGGTGACATCCATGCTGCAGGAGCTCTTAGACTCCAACATGTTTAATAAGGGGGAGGCCAGAGCCATCAGGTATATGTCCACTGTGGTAGAGAATCTCAACAAGGCCTTGATCCTCCAGCAAAAGGAGAATAAGAGTCTGGAGACCAAATACAGGTACCTGCAGACAGAGATGACCAAAGAGCTTACCAATCAGAAGTTGCACTTCCAGAAGTCTACTGAAGCCCTTGAAAGCAAGAGGAATGCCCTACTAAAGCAGGTAGAGGTTCTAGGGAAAAAGTACCGTGAACTCCTTCTGACAAATCACAACCTCGAATTCCAACTGAAGCAGGCTCAGATGGCTACAGACCAAGCAAAAGTCCAGAAGAAGGTTTTCCTTATCTCCTCTGAATTCCCCAAGAAAGATGCTCTTCTAAAAAAAGAAACATTCATGGAAGAAACCGACCTGGAGCCCCAGGAAGAGGAAGAAGACCTGGTTTCTTTACTTCCCCCATTTCCCATTACCTCAGCCTGGGTCAATGAGAGTACATCTTCAACACAGCCACTTTCCACCATTAGCCCAGAGTTGAGGACTGCAGATAAATTCGGTGACAAGGACACTGGCAACCTTGTGCCACCCTCAGAGGGTGACTTTCCTACAGAAAAGGAAAGAATGGTGGCAGAAAGCCCAGGCCCTGAAGACAGAGATCAGGAAGGCCATTTCCAAGAGAAAGGAGCCCAAATGAAATCCGACCTGTCCCCAGAGACTTTGGAGAGAGAAGTTGAGCGCAGGAAGGAGGAGTTTATCTGGGAGAGGAAGAGGCAGCAATGGATGCAGGAGGAAGAGAGATGGCTACAGAGACAGAGGAAGTGGGCCCAGCTGGAGCTGGAGCACCAGAACAGGCTGCGACAGTGGGAAATGGAGGCAGCTTCCAGGCAGCAGCCGCAGAAGAAACTCTCTGGCCTGGAAGAGGATCCAAAGGAGGACAGGCGGATCTTCATCACCACCAACCAGTGGAGGAATCTGGAGAAGGCAGATAGGTCATCGGTGCCTCCCCCGAGGCGGGGTCAGTCAGCTCGGCAAGGCAAGCAGCCACAGATGCCTGGGTCCCTACATACACAGCAGCGAGGTCTGGGAAACCAGAGGGCAGTGAGTTCAGTTGAACTTACTCCAACATCAAAAACCAGCCAGATTCCCAGCAGGCCCAAGAAATCTGCTTCCTTTCCCATCACTGGTACATCCATTCGAAGGGTGACCCGACCCTCTGTGAAGAGATCTTTGGTCATCCCTAGAGAGAAGGTATACCGCATGAACATGGAGGCCCAAAGGCAGAACCTGCAGCTTCTGAGGAGTCACTCAAAGCTGGCACTACCGAACCACCTGAGCAGCAAGGCCCTGACACTCATCACCACCACCATGGATCTGAGCTCTGGCAGGCTGCAGTGCCTGTGCCAAAAGTACATCCTCTACAGACACTTCCAGAGCTTCCGGTAGGTGCCCTGGCAGCCACTAGGCACCCACCCACACCCACTGAAATGTGGAGCAGAGCCAAAACCCTAAAGGAGAGCAGTATTGGCAAGGAGCCAGGGAGAAATTACTCAGGTCCAGACCAGGTCTCCTGAGGGAAGGGACTAGCAAAGGCTGCTGGTCTCTGCTTGGGCAACCCAAAGTATGGGAGGTAGGGCCTTTACATATGCTTTCCTTGTGAGCTTTTCCTCCAAGACTGCTACTCCATTTTCTCCCTCCCTCCCTTCCTTTCTAGCTCTCAAATCTCTTTCTTCCTTTCTCCTTCCTTCCTCCCTCTCTTCTTTCCTTCCTTTTTGTGTCAGTCTTGGGGTTTAAACAGACCGGGCACGGACCCTGATTCATTCTCTCTCTCTCTCTCTGCTTAAGGCTAGCAGTTAAGCCACAATTCCACTTCCAGCTTTTTGGTAGTTAACTGGACATAAGAGTCTCACATAGTTTCCTGCCCAGGCTAGCTTTGAACAATGATCCTCAGATCTCAGCCTCGTGACTAGCTAGGATTACAGGTGTGAGCCACTAAAGCCCAGCTCTGCTTCTCTAGTTCCTCCTTGATTCCTGTCATTCTAGCACTCACTGACTAGGCTCTCCCCATTTGATTGACTTTCCATTTCCAGCCCAGTCCGAAGGCTCCTCACTTCATCCCATCTCCTACTTTTCTGTGCCCTACTTTTCCAGGCTCCTACCCACCTCCACTTCTCCTCTTGCTCACAAGAATTACAAAACACAGACATCTCTAGTAAACCAACTTGGGGAAGCAGAGGCTTCTCCACCCCCTGAGTTGTTTCTCTTCTCTTCCCAGACAAGAGGTGATGAGCCACATACAAATCTTACAAGAAATGAGGATCTCTTACAAGATCCCAAGCTTCTATATTTTACTAGAAAACATCGACCACCAGCAATGCCTTGGCCTGCAGACCTGGACAGACAAGCAGAAGTACTTAGAGGCCAAGCGCAAGGAGTGCCTGAACCGCATGGTGACCATGTTCCCCCAGGTGGGCCTGCTGCCCTGCTGCCTGCTGTCAAAGGAGTCAGCCCAGCCAGTGGATGGTGCCAGGAAGTGACCCTACAGTGGCCACTGGGGGTGTTACTAGAAGGCAGGCAGGCAGGGGAGGGGGGACAGATGGGCAATGAGAATGCTGATCTGGTCTGGTCAAGGTCTCTGAACCAGGAAGAAGTGAAGGTGATACTGAGCCTGAGATAAAGAGAGAGCTTCCAGGGCTGGGAAGGTGGCTCAGTGGTAGAGCACTTGCCTTGCATGCTCAAGGCCCTGGGTTCGATTCCTCAGCACTACATAAGCAAAAAGAAAAAAGCTGGAAGTGGCGCTGTGGCTCAAGTGGTAGAGCGCTAGCTTTGAGCTAAAGAGCTGAGGGACAGCGCCCAGGCCCAGAGTTCAGGCCCCACGACTGGACCCCCCCAAAAAAAGAGAGAGCTTCCAATCTATGCTGATGATAGAAGGCAAGTTTCAGAAAGAGCAGAGGCCTAGGCTGGTGGCTCATGCCTATAATCATAGCTACTCAGGAAGCTGAGGTCTAAGGATTGAGGTTTCAAGTAGGAAAGAACAATCTGAGAATTGAGGTTCTAAGCCAGACTGAGAAGGAAAGTTATCTCCAGTTAACCAGCATAAAGTGGAGCTGTGGCACAAGTGGTAGAGCACTGGTTTTGAGCACAAAAGCTCAGGGACAGCGCCCAGGCCCCAAGTTCAAGCCCAGGACCACACACACACACACACACACACAAGATATTCAGGGGAAAAGAGATAGAGAAAAAGAGAAAGAGGGCTGGGAAGGTGGCTCAGTGGTAGAGTGCTTGCCTTGCATGCATGAGGCCCTGGGTTCGATTCCTCAGCAACACATAAGCAAAAAAGAAAAAAGCCAGAATTGGCGCTGTAGCTCAAGTGGTAGAGCGTTAGCCTTGAGCTGAAGAGCTGAGAGACAGCGCCCAGGCCCAGAGTTCTGGCCTCATGACTGGGACCCTCCCCCTCCCCCCAAAAAAGAGAAAGAGTGGAAGAGAGAATGAATGAATTAGAACATTTTGGGAATATTAATAGCTTTGTCCCTATTATTTGAGCATTGGATCTGCATCCCTGCCATCTTGTGTATGGGAGGAATAGCTATGAGTATTAGACCATTATATGCCAAGCTCTTCATCTGCAGATTCTTCAGTGCACGTCTAGATGAATAGCCCTAGCTTAGGAATGATTGGAAAGGATTAGTTCTAATTGCTTCTCCCCTCCCTCAACTACCAGGAGCAGAGAAGCAGGGAGTGCTGGTGTGCTCCATAGAGGGACTGCCAGTGGCTTGGAGGAAATCCCTCTAGTAGTCTCAGAATTTCTAGGCTCTGCCCTAGGGTTGGATAAGGAAGTATCCTCCTGAGTCCTAAGCAGGGGTAACCTAGGGATTTGGTGCAAGTGCTGGTATCAGAGGGAACAACCTTGGCCATGGAGGTTTCTTTCAATTCTGTACAAATCGTGTGTGTGTTTTAGCTTTGTTGCTCAAGGCTGGCACTCTCCTACTTGAGCCACAGCTCTACCTCAAGCTTTTCAGTGGTCAATTGGAGATAAGGATCTCATGGACTTTTCTGACCAGGATGGCTTCGAACCACAATCCTCAGATTTCTACCTTCTGAGTATCTAGGATGAGCCACCAGTACCCAGCTGTATGTACCACTTTGTAGTAGTCCTGATAAACCAACTCCTATAGTTGACTTCAAGTAACTTAGTAAGTTCATTTCAAGGTTGAGAAGCAACAGTGCCATATGATATTTTTTGGTGGCTCTGAGGGTTTTTCCAGCTCCTTGCCCACTGCCAGGGCTGGGTATGAAGCTACTTGGAGTACTCCAGGCATCACCTGGTCCTCTACTGTGTCCTTGCAAATACATTTTGTGACTTACATTGCCCTGGCTCCCTTAAATTTTCTTCCTTCTGTTTTATCCACTGTCCAAATTCTTTACAAAGGAGAAAAAATAAGTAATGAAGGAGCTTCTAGGAAGGATCTGATACATTGTGGGTTCAGGGATTCTGTGTGTGTGTGTGTGTTGGTCTTGGGGCTTGACCTCAGGACCTAGATGCTGTCCCTGAGCTTTTGTGCTCAAGGCTAGTGCTCTAACCACTTGAGCTTCAGCTACATTTTCAGCTTTGAGGTGGTTAATTGGAGATAAGAGTCTCATGGGCTTTCCTACCTGGACTCGCTTTGAATTGCAATCCTCAGATCTCAGCCTCCTGAGTAGCTAGTGTGAGCCAGTAGAGCCTGGCTGGTTCAGGGTTTCTAACTGGAGGGGTTCCCTAGGTCTTCCCCCCTCCTCTCAGCCCTGAATCCGGCCAGGAGCACTGTCAGACAGCTGACCTAGAGAAGGCATACTTTCCCGACTCTCCAGGTTCCCTGACGCCCTCTGCTGGTTCTTATCTAGCTCCAGCTGGAGTGTAACATTCATCTGAACATCCCTGAAGTCATCTCCCCAAAGCCCAGGAAATGCAAGTCATCCTCAGTCCCGCGTCCCCAGCATGTCCGCTCTAGCGGCCCCATGTGCAAACAGCCCTCACTCTCCAAGCTCCGGGAATGTATGCCCCTGCGGATGGCCAGGTAAGTGCAAGGAAGTTGGGTGGGTGAGTGGGGAGTCAGGAAGCAGGGGTGACCACCTGGGGAGGTGGGCAGCACAGGCAAGAGCACAAATAGGCAAAGGATCTTGGCTGGAAGTCAACCTAGGCAGAAAAGTCCGTAAGACTCTTATCTCCAATTAATCAAAATTAAAATAATAAAAGCCAGAAACGGAGCTGTGGCTCAAATGGTATAGCACTAGCCTTGATTAAAATAAAGCTCAGGGGCTGAGAAAGTGGCTCAGTGGTAGAGAGCTTGCCTTGCATGCATGAGGCCCTGGGTTCGATTCCTCAGCACCACATAAGCAAAAAAAGAAAAAAAAGTCAGAAGTGGCGCTGTGGCTCAAGTGGTAGAGCCCTAGCCTTGAGCTGAAGAGCTGAGGGACAGCGCTCAGGCCCAGAGTCCAGGCCCCACGACCAGGACCCCCCCCAAAAAAATTAAATAAATAAAGCTCAGGAACAGTGTCCAGGCCTTGAAATCAAGCCCCAGGATTGGCGCGCGCACACACACACACACACCACCACACACACACACACATATACACACACACACACACACAGGGCCCAGACTGAAAAGTTGAGAGTTCAATGCTAGCCTAGGACACATAGTGAGATCCTATCTCAAATAAAGAACTAAGTGAATAATTGACTCCATTTATTTAATTGGTCCGATGTTGCACTAGGCAATGAGTACATACATCTGGCTGGTCTTATAATACAATAATAATACTTAATGTCTATTGTGTATTTCTACATGGCAGGCCTTGTGTTAATCAGCTGATGTATGTTGTCTCATTTAATCCTCTTCCATAGAGAAAAGTGCCTATCTCCTTAGCTGCCCTGTCCAGCTCTGGTGCACTGACTCAGAAATGTGGGGCCATGTGTGGGCTTCAAGGACTAGCCTGATTATGTTGCAAACTAAGAAACTGACTCCAGGGGCTGGGTATGTGGCTTAGTAGTAGAGTGCTTGACTAGCATGCATGAAGCCCTGGGTTTGATTCCTCAGTACCACATACGCAGAAAAAGCCAGAAGTGGCACTGTGGCTCAAGTGGTAGAGTGCTAGCCTTGAGCAAAAACTCAGGAACAGTGCCCAGGCCCTGAGTTCAACCCCTAGCACTGGCAGAAAGAGAGAGAGAGACAGAGAAACAGAGAGAGACACACAGAGAGAGACAGAGAGACTAATAATTCACAACCAATCACTTAAAACCTTTTCTAGGGCTGGGAAGGTGGCTCAGTGGTAGAGCGCTTGCCTTGCATGCCTGAGGTCCTGGGTTCGATTCCTTAGCACCACATAAGCAAAAAGAAAAAAAGCCGGAAGTGGCGCTGTGGCTCAAGTGGTAGAGTGCTAACCTTGAGCTGAAGAGCTGAGGGACAGCGTCTAGGCCCAGAGTTCAGGCCCCACGACCAGACCCCCCCCCCCACAAAAAAAAAAACTTTTCTACTCTGACAATTGAATCAACATTTGCCATTGGTCTTTCCATATAAACAAACCTGATGCTTCCGACTGAAACCCCACCCCACCCACACCCCAGACTCAAACAGAGATAGTTTGTCTTGGGACAACCAAGCAGAAGCCTGGTTCAGGATTTCAGCTCTGAAGGCACAGAGTACCCTAGAAGAATCTTCAGGTAACCTCTCAGTCAGAGGAGCCCCAAGGAGCTCCCAAGGGAGTTGAGGAGCCCATGTTGAGAGGTGAGGGGTGACAAGAAGAGCAGGAAACAAATGCCATTTGAAAAGACAAGACAGCAAGGCCCAGTACCTTGGGCCTTATGTCATGTAGAACTGGAGACTTCTCTGTCTTTTTCTTAATATCTAACTCTAAGTCTTTTATTTTTTATTTAATTTAACTTATTTACATTCTCTTTTACTCACAGCCAACAGGGAAACCAGATGGGAGCCATCTGGAAAACTGATGTGTCCTCTTCTAGTCACCCAATAGAAAAGAAGACCCCTGCCAAACAAGCTTGGGACCAGGTAGGGGGATACCCAGATATCCCCCGACTGTTGGCAAGAGATGAGCAGGCATCCTAGCACAGAAGGGCAATTCAAAACCTGGTAAGGAACAGGGCTGGGAGTGACTAGGGATCATAATTCAAGGCCAGCCTGGGTTAAAAAAAAAAAAAGTTCAACCCAGGTGCTGATGGTTCATGCCTAAAATCCTAGTTACTCAGGAGGCTGAGATCTGAGGCTCACAGTTCAAATCCAACCCAGGCAGGAAAGTACATGAGACTCTTATCTCCAATAAATTACTCAGCAAAAACCTGAAGTAGTGCTGTGGCTCAGTGCTGTGGTAGAGTGCCAGCCTTGAGCAAAAGAAGCTCAAAGACATGTGCAAGTCCTGAGTTCAAGCTCCAGAACCAATGAAAAAAAAAAACCAGCTTGAAAGCCCCAACCTCAACCAATGGCTGGTCACAATGCTGTCACCTGTCATCCCAAGTTACTGGAGAAGCACAATGGTGGTCCAGAATAGCTGAAGTAGCAAACTTGCCTAGCAAACATGAAGCCTTGAGTTCAAACCCCAGCAACACACACACACGCGCGCGCGCGCGCACGCGCGCTCTGAGACTTCAATAGTGACATCTTCAGATGTCTTCAGAGTGGCAAAGAAGAACTGAACTTGTTCTATAACCAGAAAAGCCTTCTGCTTTCCTTTTAGCTGCTCTTTCTAGCAACAGTTCACAAGGAAATGAAAATGACAAAGGTAGGTCCAGGCCCAAGTCTCAGGGTTATCATATGATGTATGACATTTCTCAATCTCTCAATATGTCTACCTGGCTCTCTCGGAGAACAATCTCCAGGCAAGATAGGCCTTAAAGCAGCTAGAATTGAAATCTTGAGCCACTATTACCTCTTTTGGCCCTGGCCCTGACCTGGTCCCAATTAAAACATATCTGAAGATAATAGTTTGAATCCAGCCCAGGCATGGAAGTCCAGGAAACGCTTTTCTCCAATTAACCACCAAAAAGTCAAGAGTGGAGCTGTGGCTCAAATGGTAGGGCCCTTAGCATTGAGCACAAAAGCTCAGGAACAGCACCTAGGCTTTGCGTTCAAGCCCTAGGATTGGCACCAAAACAAAACAAAACAAAAATCTCCAATAGAGAGAGTATTGTGATGGCTGCCAATCTAACCTAAAAGGAATACATGTGTTGCTCTGTCTTTCCCAAAGGGACTTAGGTAAGAAAAAGTGGCAGAGCAGCCTCAGGGGTTAAGCCTCCCCCCCCCAGCTGTGCCTCTGCCCTAAAGTGGTATGAATGTCCCAACTAGAAACCAGCATGACAGCCTACCCAATGTGGCTACCTAGGGTGCCAAGCCAGGAGCATATGTGTAGTACTTGTTGATTTGGAGTTAGCAGAGCTGAGAATAACTGAAACAATACAACTGTAAAACTAAGGAACTCAGGAGCCGTCATCAGAAGCCTGTCCAACTGAGGGCCTTCTAAGGCTCCACCCGGCATCCATGGGGACTCAAGGCTGGCCATTTTGTTCTTCCCCACACTTCACCCAGAAATGGATACATAATGCCCTGTAATTGACCCCAAGCATTCATGGGGTTAGATTCTTTCAAATGTAAGTGGATAATGAAGAAAAGAAATAATAAAACACCATAGAACAGCAGCTTTCTCCCCCCTCCTCGTCCCACTCTTTTTCCCCCCCCTGCTTTTCTTATAAAATGCAAAATCCTAAGATCCCTTCATGTCTCAAGCAGAGCTGTTCCACCCACACCCAGGCCTCCACTGGGATCTCAGCTACAGGCTGAAGCACTTATCAAAATATTGTTCCCAGTAAAGACAGCTTCCCCTTTCTAAGGGAATTTAGATGAATACAATTTTCTTCCCCCTTTTCCAACTTTGTACAGGATTATTTAATTTATTATTTGCTACCGGTGCAAAGGCAAGAGCCCTACTTCTTCTGTGTCCTTTGCCTATATCCTAGCTGGATCATCTTTTCACATCAGCCTGCTCCTAGGACCTCATAATCAATGATGGAAGGAGTGTGGATCTTGTGTGTGTGTGTGTGCACATGCGTGCATGTGTGCGTGCACGCACATGTGCATGCCAGTCCTGGGCTTGAAACTCAGGGGTCTGGGTTCTGTCCCTTATTTTTTTCATTCAAGGCTGGTGCTCTACTACTTGAACCACTCCTCTGTTTCCGCTTTTTGGTAGTTGGTTGGAAATAAGAGTCTCACAGACTTTTCTGCCTGGCTAGCTTCAAATCAAAATCCTCAGATCTAGCCTCTTGAATAGCTAGGATTACAGGTGTGAGCCTTGTGTTGCCTTATAAGCCCTAAGCCTGTGCTCTCTGTCTGACAGGCAGAAAGACTGTATGTATCTACACACACTACATACTTTCTGAGGTTGGAGGTGAATCTTAGTTGGACTCTAACTGCCCTTCTCTTCCCGTGCTCAGATTCATTCCTGCACAGCTATGCTATATGCTAGTCCCTGTGTGCCACAGAGAGGCACAAGAGCACAGACAAACATAGAAGTCTCACATGCTAGAGACAGACAAGAGGGCTGAGAATTTGGTATCTGAGACTGAGATGAGATGAAGAAGAAACATGGGTTGGGAAGAAGTAAAGCAGATTAGCAGGACACCTGCAAAGGATGACATGTAAATTTATATGGAATTCTTTGCTTAAAGAAATGAATACTAGGAAGCTGTTATGGGGTATAGAGTTAGGTCAAAGGGGGCAGACCAATGGAGGAAGAGTTAAAATGCAGTCATAATTCTGGGTGTAGATATGTGGAAATGGAACAGGGTAAATTGAGGGGATGGGTGCCAGTTGGAGATGAAGAAGAATGATAATCAAGATGCACTGTACTCACAAACTAACAATGTGAAACCCCTTTGAACAATGACTTAAATTTTTAAAAAAAGAAGAGTAGTGAAGAAAGAGAAAAGTCAATGTTCTGTGAAGACTAGAAGCAGATTGACAAGAGATTGACATAAAGTCTCTGGAATTGACTCCAAAAAAAGTCATGTTAAGCAGTTTTACATTTAGGTCAAATATGGGCCCAACTCTTGACTGTGTGCCATTTGTTTCCTCCACACTCCCTGCCCAGTTCTCTAGTTAGCTGTGTACCCAAAGACCAGGGATCTGACTCAGTTGTTCATCCTGCCCACCTGTCTTAATTTTTTCAGGGCTTCTATGACTCAAAGGAGGGAATGCCAGGAACCCATACTTGAGCTAGCTGAGTTTGTCAGCAAAAAGTCAACCAAACTACTCCTTGGAACCCCATAAAGTCAGAAGAATCAAGACACAGCATCAGTCCCCACTCCATCCCTTAACTAGTGATTCTCAAGCTTCATGGTAACTAAAAACCACACAGGGACTTGTTCCAATGCAGGTTCCCAGCTGGTTCTTTTCAACAAAAACACTTTTCAGTGTTGAGAAGTCTCATCTGAGGACTTTAAGAAACACTATTTTTCCCCCATAGTCTCCAAACAGTACATTTTTTAAAAATAAAATAGAGGTTGGTTTATTTAAACATATGTCTCAATTAATGCTGTAAAATATACTTCCCTGACTCATTTTTAGAAGCAACTCCAAGGCCATTTCCAAGTTCTCTTTCTCAGGAATGAACACTCTTCTTGCTTCCAGCACGAGCCCCTAGGAAGAAGAGAAACACTTAGATATCTGGCTCTGGGGATGATGTCAGGAGTAAAGTTTGATTTCTGAATCATGCTGTAGATAGCAGGAGGATGCCTGGCTAGAGAGAAAAGTGAAGGTATTTGAATATGGGTCATGCATAGGATAGCTAGGGCAAAAAAGGGGTAGTTTCCAGCCTCTGGGGTCTCAGGCTTGCTCATTTTTTTGTCAGGTCTCCCCAGTTATATCAAACCTATGAAACTGCATTCACACCCTTGTGTGGTTGTACATGCCTGTAACTGTGTATATGTGTATGTTGTGTGTATGTAGAGGGTGTAGTATGAATGATGTGTGTGTGGGGAGGTACTTTTCTGGCAATGAGGTTCAAAAGTGATATATCTAGCCAAATAAACTTATGCCGCCGCCAGTGCTGAGCACCAGTGGCTCACACCTATAATCTTAGCTACCCAGGAGGCTGAGATATGAGGATCACTGTTCAAAGCCAGCCCAGGTAGGAAAGTCCATGAGACTATTATCCCTAATTAATCACCAGAAAAATGGAAGCGGTGCTATGTCTTGAAGTGGTAGAGCACTAGGCCTGAGCACAAGAGCTCGGAACTAAGCCCAGGCCTGAGTTCATACCCCATAATCAACAAAAGAAAAAAAAACTTCCTTTCTTTCTACCTTCCTTCCTTCCTTTTCTTTTTCTTTTTTTCTTTCTCTCTTGGTCAGTTTTAGAGCTTGAACTCAGGGTCTTAGTGCTGTCCCTAAACTTTTTTGCTCTAGACTGGCGCTCTACCACTTTGAGCCATAGCTCCACTTCAGTTTTTAGGTAGTTACTGGAGATAAGAGTCTCACGGATGCTGGGCGCTGGTGGCTCATGCCTGTAATCCTAGCTACTCAGGAGGCTGAGATCTGAGGATTGTGGTTCAAAGCCAGCTCGGGCAGGAAAGTCCGTAGTACTCTTATCTCCAATAAACCACTAGAAAACTGGAAGTGGCGCTGTGGCTCAAGCAGTAGAGTGCTCGCCTTGAGCTGAAGAGTGCAGGGACAGTGCCCAAACCTAGAGTTCAAGCCCCACAACCAACCAAAAAAAAAAAAAAGTCTCACAGAGGGTTGGGAAGGTGGTAGAGTGCTTGCCTTGCTTGCATGAAGACCTGGGTTTGATTCCTCAGCACCACATAAGCAGAAAAAGCCAGAAGTGGCGCTGTGGCTCAAGTGGTAGAATGCTAGCCTTGAGCTGAAGAGCTGAGGGACAGTGCCCAGGCCCAGAGTTCAGGCCCCATGACTGACCAAAAAAAAAAAAAAAGAGTCTCACAGACTTTCTTGCCTGAGCTGGCTTCATATTGCAATCCTCAGACTTCTACATCCCGAGTAGCTAGGATTAGAGACATGAGCCACCAGTGCCGGGCTATTTATTTTGTGTCAGTACTGGGTTTGAA